TTATACCCACCCCTATACAAAATAGAGTATAAGCCTTTCAGGTTTAGCTTGTCGACATCTGCTGCATCACAAGAAATAATCGCTCTTCCTTTGGTTCGTCATCGATTCTACTCCGAAAAGGTACTCTTTTTTTTTTTTCCCACTCGCTTCGATTCTTATGCACACATCTGGCTCCATTTGATACCCTTTCGTTTGCTTCTCTACACACTCTTCAAATCTGTAAGATTTTTCTCTCTTTTAAAAGTTAGAATTGTTCAGGATCTTTGTTCTTTGAAGGATCTTTTTGTGGTGAATCTTGTAGAGATGGCTCCTGTTGGTCCTCCTCGATCTGGCGATGCAATCTTCTCAAGCATCGATCGCGTGGTAAGTTGGGAATTTTTTAAAAATGATGAAGAATTTATTTGCCTCTGATATGCTTCATTGTGATTTGTGATCGATTTCATAGGATAAAGCCTCTTTCTATAACGATTTGACAAGTAAAAGATGTAAAATTTTACAATTGTGTTACTATCCTGTATATTCTGAATCCTTGATTCAATCTTGTTATGGAACTTGATGTTTTTGTTAGAATGCGGAGTTGTTCACATTGACATACGGTGCAATTGTGCGTCAATTGCTTACTGATCTCGAAGAGGTCGAGGAAGTCAACAAACAGCTTGATCAAATGTATTCTTCTTTTACGCTTTCTCTGCTTCTCTTCCATGTCTTTTCGATTTCCCTTGAAATCTTGAGTTTGAATTCACAATGATGACTGCTGGATTAGCCTTAATTTTCTGTTAATTCTGCAGGGGATACAACATTGGAATCCGACTTATCGATGAGTTTCTAGCAAAATCTGGTGTTTCCAGATGTGTTGACTTCAGGGAAACTGCTGAAATGATTGCCAAGGTTTGCTATTTCCAGTAATTTAGTGTTGCACTTTTACAGTTTCTAAGTGTCACGAGTATCAATAACAATCTCCCGTGAGGTCTATTACGCAGGTGGGTTTCAAGATGTTCTTAGGGGTCACTGCATCAGTGACAAGCTGGGACGCGGATGGGACTTGCTGCAGTATAGTCTTGGAGGACAATCCGCTCGTTGATTTCGTGGAGCTTCCCGATACTTGTCAAGGTCTTTACTACTGCAATGTCTTAAGTGGAGTCATTAGAGGTGCTTTGGAAATGGTCAGTCTCTCTTCTTCTTCCCATTTCTTTGTTGTGTTTATGACCTTCGATTCCTAGAAAGCGTAAAGAGACTACTTCTCTTATTTCTACTGCCATTATCAAGTGAAGAACTTGTTGGGTCTCAAATGTTTTTGTTGTCTGAACCATGATCAGGTCTCAATGAAGACAGAAGTTACGTGGACTCGTGATGTGCTTCGAGGAGATGATGCTTACGAGTTGCAGGTTAAGCTCTTGAAGCAAGTTGCTGAGGAGTATCCTTACAAGGATGATGAATGAATCCCAACTCTTAGCTTTGTTGCTATTGCATCTTTTATGGAGCCAAATAACGATGTTCTCAAGTATTGTTTTTATCCTTAAATCACTTTTCAAATGCTTTATGTATGCAATTTTTAGTAGAACAACAAAACATATGAAAGCTTAATCTTCATTGCATTTACTTTGATTGGGTCTTTACTACTGCAATGTCTTTTTTGGGGATTATACCAATGCTGATAAGTTTGTAAGGAAGTTTGAGCCTTACCATCTTAAGTTTTATGTTACGACTTACGACCGATTACATTATCTGATTTTGCATTTGCTGCGGTGAGCCGGTGATTGCAGAACTTCTCCTTTGGTTTAAGGAAATTTTTAAACCAAGTTTTTTCAGATTTCAGATAATTGAGTCATTGAACAAGAGCTGGTTACTTGAAAGCGTTTGGGCTTGTAAACGACCAATCAATACTCTACAAACTCCACACTTCAAAAACCTTACGAGCTATAGTCATATTCTCTCTCTTTCTCTCTGCAATTCAATTTTTTTGTTTCAGAACTTGAAAACGAGTGGAACATTCTGAATTCAATGATGTTTAAATCTTAGGAATAGATAGACTACAAGAGGATATTGATATGTTTGTGCAATTGTGAGTACAATACACTATTAAAATTAAAATTGTTGTGTTTTAAATTGATAAGCTAACCACTCTCATAGTCTCAATTTAATAATACATGCATCGTAAACTCATCAACCTCGCATCTTCTCTTCATTGCATTGACTTCTATTGGTTAACTAAATGTCTTTCTTGCATTTTCAAGAAAAAAAATTCAAAGAACAAACTAGAAGAGTTAACTGTTTGCAATGAGAACTAAAGTATTACATAGGAAACAAAGAAACAAGTTTGTGAGCTTCAATGGACTCTGAATCATGTATATAGATCAGAATCAAGCCAAGCATCCTTTTTAAGACCAGTTTTTGAAGAATACTTGTCCAGATCTTTGTTCACACTCGCGATATCCAAACTCGGGACAATGTTCTTCAGCAGAGCTCCGACAAATCTTACTACGGAAGGACCAAACTCAGGCCATGAGATCACCAACGTTCCTCTTATGTTCCTCAGCTGACACCGGCTCAAAAGTGAAGCACTCAGCCCGTCGATGACACTCCCTGATGGGAAGTAATCCAGATTCACACAACTTGTTGCTTTTTTCTCAGATGATGTCTCGAGTTTCGCAGCCAATGTTTCATCTGGTGAGAGCTTACCTCTGAAATTACGGCTCTGAATGGAATCTAAGATTATAACCCGCTCCGGGATAATGTCTTGACCAATGAGTAATCTCGAGACAATGTGAGACCGTTCAGGGGATACCGGAAGCTGAACAGAGACAAGGAGGATGGAGTTTTTATCATCAGTGCTACTCAAGGAATATATGTTGCATGATTTGTCCTCTAAAGAAGGTTCCATGGTGTTTCCAGAAAACGGGACTTCAGGCATTATGAGACTTCCAAGGAGAGTCTTTGACGGTAAATTGTGGAAGACGTAGAGGGAAGGCGAAGATACGGCAATGATGAGCAAAGATGGTCGGAGAGGCAGTTCGGGTTTCGGGTTTGAGAAGATGATGAAAGGAGATGGAAGGGATTCAGGTGGCGGAACAAAGTTGTTAAGATCTTCTTGGAAGAATCTTGAAGGTGGAGGATTCTCGGTTAGCACATCTTCCATCTCTAGCTTCTATCGAAATCTCACAAATCTCTGCAACAAATATAAACATCAAAAGATGTCGTTAGCTAGCACGAGACACACACACATCTAAAGAAGGATTTAAGCACTTAAGACACCTAACTGGAACAAGGAGATGCAAAGACGTCTAAGCAGGACTACTCGATGTAGAGACTAAATCAAACGCAGACTTCTGGTGGTTCGTGCGCCTATAAGAACATCAACTATTCTTATTATATCCAGCTATATCCACAAGGCATTGCACCAAAAAGATACAATCAGCTAATGATATAATCCATAACTAAAAAATAAACAACGAGCTCATAAAGGAATCAACTTTCCATCTAATGAAAACTGTGGAACCCCCAAAATCTAAGAAAACATTATGATCAAAGTGAACATATTACAGATCTTAAGCTTAATCATAGATTGCTGTCCTTGTACTGTGGAAACCCCAAAATCTAACCAAATAAAAATCGACTCTTTTTCACGAATCCGAATCATACTGATAACCAAATTCAAGTTTCTTACATTATACAGAGATTCAAACTCAAATCCGGTATAAAACCCAGAACAATTCCAACTTCACACAAAAAGAGAGAGAAAAGTCTCCAAATTTAAAGACTGTAGAAGCAAACGAGAGCGTATCAAATAGATCGAGAGAAACAGTAGCAAGATAAATTTAAGGAAGTGAATCAAAAACGCACCTTGAAACAGAGTCGAAATCGATGAAGAAGAAACAAGAAAGGAGAGAGATTTTTCTTGTTAACTGTCGTCTCTACCAAGACAGTGAGAAGCCAAACCTTCAATTAAATTAAAACCTCCTCAAATCAAATCAAACCACCACAAAGATAACCGAAAATAACCTGAAATACATTTAAGCCGAAGTAAACCGAAATTAACAAACCGGATCTAACCACAAATATAAACGTAAATAACCGAAATCTCTCTCCATTTCCAGATTCGAGCTTCGTTGTGAGAGACCCTTGTCGTGAGTGGAAAGAAGGTACCTTTTTTTTTATGTTTCTCCTCCGATTGTGTCAAAAAATCGAAGCTTGGTTTACTTTGTCGAAAGTATTTGAGGAATTGGAAGAGTTTTTTTGGGTGTTTCACTTTGTTGTATGGAATAATCTGTGGTTAGATATTGAGGAAATGGATTATCTTCTCTGAGATTGCAATCAATGTTTGTGCTTTCTTTCTTTTTAAACATGCTCTCTTGTTTCATTACTCTTTTTGTGTGTATAACATGTGTCAATCTTGTGATACAGTGGCTGTGCTTTCTATGTTTCTGCATTCTCTTGTGGGTTTTGAGGATCTAGATTTCATGTATAGAGCGGTCAATGATTCTTGATTTAGGAAATATTCGAGATAGGTTTGGCGATGTAATATGATGTCCAAAAAGGTAGTTGGTTAGCTACTCATAAGTGATTAGTATTGTGGTATGTGTTCTTCTATTACAATCTGCATCTGCTCTTATCAGACTTGTTCTCTTTGTATTTGTGTGGCTCATATCTCTCTACCATAAGACTAGTCACTAGGTCTTAGTGTGGTTTTACTTAGTATTGCTTTCAATCCTAGTGGAATTAGTGGAAGATAATGTCCGCCAGAGCCATCGTGCGATTGGTAAGAACGTCTCTGAAAAAAGAAAAACAGATGTTTGAATGGATAGTGATTGATCTCGTTTTGATATTGAATCGATTTATCTCGTTTTGATTTTGAATGTTTTCAAGTCTCTATTATTCACTCTTCTAACTCCTCACCATTTGTAAATTTCTAGTTCATCATTACTTCTCTAGCGTCTTTGAGTCCCTGCGGATTATCGGATATTACTTCTTCGAACGCAATCGTCAAGTAGAAGCTCTGTTGTGTAGATTCAAATTAACCGGAAAATGGGATTGTTAAGCATCATTCGAAAAATCAAGAAGAAAGAGAAGGAGATGCGTATTCTTATGGTGTATGCTCAGATTCCAAACTTTTAAAATCTCCTCCAATCTACTAAGTATATATTGATGAATTACTGTTTTTTTTTTTGGTTTTTGGTTTTTGTAGTGGACTAGATAACTCTGGGAAGACGACCATTGTTCTGAAAATAAACGGAGAAGACACAAGCGTGATCAGTCCAACACTTGGATTCAACATCAAAACCATTATTTACCAAAAGTAAGCTCTCTCTCTCACTCTACTCCTTTTACAACAGCTTGTAGTTTAACTGTTCTTGAAACAGGTTATAGGAAATGGTAATTTGTGTACAATGGTGTAGGTATACGCTTAATATATGGGATGTGGGTGGGCAAAAGACGATAAGATCGTATTGGAGGAATTATTTTGAGCAGACTGATGGTTTGGTTTGGGTTGTGGATAGTTCTGATCTCAGGAGGTTAGATGATTGCAAGATGGAACTTGAAAATCTCTTGAAGGAAGAGGTATCTAAAACTGTCTCTTGTATAATCAAAAGCTTTTGCAATATGTAATTCAAATGGTGGAATTGAGTTTTGGGTATTGTTCTTTTGGTTTTCATGGCAGAGGCTTGCCGGGTCGTCTTTGCTGATACTAGCAAATAAGCAGGATATTCAAGGTGCCCTTACACCGGAAGAAATTGGCAAAGTAAGGGTTTTGAAACGATTTGTAAATCGAAATTATAAACCCGAGTCTGTCTTTAAATTGTTCTTTATCAACTTTTGGGAAGATTAGAGGGTTTAGGATCTGTGCATATTGTGTTTGGTGCTAAACTGAGTTATATCTGCTTGCTTGTGTAGGTGCTGAATTTAGAGTCTATGGATAAAAGCCGGCACTGGAATATCGTCGGTTGCAGCGCATACACAGGTGAAGGTTTATTGCAAGGATTTGATTGGTTAGTTCAAGACATTGCCTCCCGAATTTACATGCTTGACTAATGACAATGTTCTACTCAACAATTTGCAATCAGAAAGTTCTACTCAAGTGACTTTATATAAACATCTAAACTTTGTGTTTAGCCCTATCGATAGAAGTGGTGTGGTGTGAAGTCA